ATTGCACCGTGACCGACCGATACAATTCATTGTTCATTATTCCGAACAACACATTTGCAAACACGATTCACGGTTCAACCCCCTTTTCTTCTTTAACCTTTCTCTAGGATCTCTTAAGATTCTCCTCCTCGTGAACTTTCGCACGTTTTCGCCCTCTTTCGCGTACGTGAGATACTTTTCTAAAAAAAAAAAAAAAAAAACAAAAAGAAATGATCGCGTAAAGATCGTTCTACCTTTTTCACAGATTAAACGTGCCCGGTAATTATGACAATGGGAAAACAAACGGTGTACAAATATTGTTCGCTATTTGTTATTACATTTTATCGAATTGAAATAATGAAAAGCTTATACGCTATTTTAAAATATTTATTTTATAATATATTTTGTGTGTCCTAGAGCGAATTGAACAAAAATTCGAAAATTTAATTTTGCCAAGATATTCTAAGTAACTGCATCTTAAATCCATACTTTAAAAAAAAAAAAATTTTAACTAACGGATTAATAATTTTTAAATGAAATTATTCCCCTCCCAAAAAGAATATCGTCAAATTTTTCCATTAATAAAAGAATATTAAATTTACCGATGATAATTACCGGAACGTTTGTAATATAAATTCGAGTAATATAGATTGGTGAAAGGGTTAAAAGGACAAGAGACTATTACTACGAGGTATACCTTCGTTCCCGATTTCACATTATGCAAGAAAGTTAACCGGCATACACGCGTATGATGTCTCACTTCCTGTCGAGAGCAGCTGCCGTGAAATCGCGGATCACGGGCGCGATGTGAAATCGCGTCTGTTCTTTTAAACAACTGCTCTCCGCGCACTTCTTCGATCTTTTCTTTAGTCGTCCTTTCTTTTTACGAACGTACCTACCTACCTATATACGTACACACACGTACGTACGTACATACATACGTGTGCGTAGAAATATCTTTGTACAGATTTCGAAGCATCTTTTAACCATTCTTTTTTTTCTTGTCTTTTTTTTTTTCCCCCCCCCATTTTATTTTCTTTCACATACCTGACTCGTTTTAATTCTTTCCGCTTGTATTTTACGAGCACGCGTACCTCTCGTCGTCCAACTTTTCCTTATACTTCGAAGCTTCGTATAACAGAAGACATTTATTTCCATTTGGACCACCGCGAGCAGATGCTAACAATTTCTCTTCGGCCACCGTCGCCGATTCGTTTCGTAAAAGGGTAAAAAAGAGAAAAAGAGAGATAAAATCTAACAAAAAATAAGAATCATTAATATGTGTTTGTATGATTATTATATTATGTATTCGCGATAATTAGTCATGATAATTATATAAAGATAACGACGAATCGAGCACGATTTTGTATGAGACTCCGCGTGTGCCGTCTGTCTTATATTTTTAAAAATCGTTAAAGTACTTGATCGTACATGCGAAAAATCCCCACGTATGATTGCGAAACGTACAAATCTGATTGCAAAATACGTGTATTCCTAATATTTATATTTTGGGTTGGTAACTAAATGATTGCGCATATTATCTATAGACAAATCACATTTAATTCAATTTTTTGATATCGATGATCAGAAATTGTATGAGCGTGAAATTATGATACCGGCCGAACGATGGCAAAAGCTCATCGACCAAAAACGGACAATACCCCTATCATTGAATAAAGTTATATTTTTCAAGAAAAATTTTGCAATTTTCCTTCTCATTTAAAATCCGCAAACACTCGGTTGCCAATCCAATATTTTACAAATATTATTTCAAAAACGATCGTTTAAAAGTACACTTGAAACAAATCAAAGTTACTCCCTAAAAAAAAAAGCATTATCTTGTATTTAAATTAAATTAAAAAGAAAAAGAAAAAGAAAACTAAATTAAAATATAATCTAATATAGAAAATCTCTAAAAAAAAAAAAAAAAAAAAAAAAAAAAAAAAAATATAATCTAATATAGAAAATCTCTAAAAAAAAAAAAAAAAAGAAAAAGAAAAAAGTAATCGAGATATATTATAACGACGTATCGGTTACTAGGAAATTTATCATGACGGTAGTAGAGTAGGACTGACTGAGATCTCGTGTGCCCAAGGCGACGGCCCAGATGCGCAGGTATGCGCAGCCGTGTAAGCAGTGCAGAGTTGTGCACATCTGCGCGGCCCCGAAAAGTCGAACGCCGCGAAATTCTATGTGTATGTATATCTATATGCATATGTGTATATATGTAATGTGCATTAAGCATCGCAGGTTCTCGCTCTGGCGAAAAGAGTTAAGTTAAAAGGAGGGTGCACCGACTTTGGTATCAGAATATACGATCACAACTCGGTAGCAGCCACGACCGGCTGGCAGAGATAAGAATCAAACCAAACGGAGGCAACCCCTTTTGATCAGTACTCCCTTTCTTTATTTCTTTCTTTCTTCCTTTCTTTCTATCTTTTTATTTTGCTGCTTTAGCCTTTTCGCAGGCACCTTGCGACGATTCCCTTATTCTTATTCTTTCTGCCCTTACATATTCGCCCCGGGGACGATGAAGGAACACATTTTGATGTGTTGGTGTGCTCGACAACAATATCGCCATCTGTATCCTCATTAGCTTAAGCGATACAAACAGTCTGTGGTCTCTCACCTCGAAAACTTGTACGGCTGGCAGCATACCACCGTTTGCCTAAGGCTGTCCACCACCACCACCACCACCAACACCACCATCACCTTCTTTCTTTTTCTCATCCTCTTCATATTTCTGTTCATTCTTTCCTCGGTTCGTCTACCACCGGCCCGTTTAACGGCCATTATATGGACTATTACGTTACTTCTCAAGTGGAAAACTGCCAACTGGGACGATGGGTAGTAACGTCGAGAAAGATCCCCTCCCCTCCTCCACCCCACCCAAAGAAACTGACTTTTAATTAATATACAAAATAACGATGTTATTCGATAACGATTAACTCGTTCTAAAATTTTAAAATAGATATAAATCGTAACTCATAAAAGCAAATCCTAATTTCGTGGATTTACGTGAGTTAGAAGGAAAAAACGTGTCGTAAATTAGTATCCCAAAACATGGCCAAGATACTTAAGAAAGAAAAACGTGTGATAAGTATGAAGTATAGAAATAAATAAGTAGTAAGTAATAGACTGGTATTCCGGAAACATGGCGCTAAGGTGAGGACAAAAGCTTGAAGATGTAAGTAAGTAACGCGACGAGCGTGAAACGTGCTCGTTAACGTCTCGAACTATCTTCTTCTAGTATGTGTGCGTGCGTGTCTATGCGTTTATCTGTGTAGAATACCTTTCTTCGTGTAAAGATCTCTATCAATAGAAAGACAGTAGGAAAAAAGAGATAGAAATCTTTGAACAAATAAATGTATATATATACGCTACTCGAATTATATATATATATTTTCTATTTTTTTTTTTTTGTAGAATACCGTGAATAATCGTCGAATAAAACACGCAGCTGTCTAGAAATCGAGGAATAAGGAGATAAAACATATTATGGTATATATTTATAATGGTATTCAACGAAATCGAGCTTGGTTGTTATCGTTGTTGTTTCGAGAGAAAAAGAAGATGAAGAAGAAGAAGAAGAAGAAGAAAAAAAAGAAGAGGGAAAAGGTGGAAGAAGGGTGGGGGGGGGGTGACAAAATTTAGGGGAAAGTTTCTTTTTATTTCTTTTTTTTTTTTTTTTTTCGAAAATGACACGGTACGATGTGTGGCCACCCACGCGATAGGAATACGAACAGGTAGAAAGAAATGAATGAATGCGATATACGCGAGGTACGACAATGGTCGTGTCGTGCACAATGACGAAGAAGAGATAGAAGAGGAGAATAAGAGAAGCAGGCAACACAGGCTTTGCATTGAAAGGCAAATGAGAGGAGCCATGAGACGTTCTTGTCAGTGCGCTCTCCTTTTCTTTTCCTCACCGTCTCGTCTCGTCTTGTCCTCTGTTCGACACAACTCCTTTCTATTGCGCACCCACATCCGTTGCCTTTTCAAGTAGCACCCCAAAACACACCTTACGCAAATTAATGTCGCATGTTAACGGGCCTGAGAAAAAGAGAAAGATGGAAGAGAGAGAGAGAGAGAGAGAGAGAGAGAAAGAAATAAAGAAAGAAAGAAAAAGTCGAAACAAACCGGACATGAACGACAAGCCTATTCTGATCGTTGGCTTGTCATCGTCTTTAAGATAGTACAAGTAAATCATTCTTTTGATGTCGCCACACTTAAATCCTACACGTCATCTATTCCTAAATGATTAGAATAACAATACAAGTGTGTACGTAAGATTCCAACAGAGCACACATTCGTTATTAAATAAATTATATTCATTAGACTTCTTTTTTTTTTATATATACTCATTATTATGCTTAATAATGCATTTTCTTACCGATTACATTATTAATCATATACAGTTGAACCATAATACTTTCTATCAAAAGCGAATTCTTTATAAAGACGTCTGACATTGTGCTTATCAGATAATTTTTAAACTATAAGCCATATTTTGTGTTCTCTTTTTAAAATAAATATTTTTTTAATTATATTTATATGTACACTTGTACAGAAAAAATATAATTTAAAGGGGCAACAGTTTGTTTAAAAGAAACAAAATTATTCAAACTTTTTACCAATCGATAAAAGAAGAATCTTTTATTACCGACGTGTTTCAGCTAGTAAAAAAAAAACCCTGAATTATTATTGCCGATTGATATATACTATATTACAGTGTCATAAACATTTGTCGAAATGATTACAAAAGAAAATAAATTTTCTTTCCTCTAGATAAATATTAAATCGAAATTATCGACCTATTTTATCGACATATCTAGCAATACATTACCACCTGTCGATCAGTTAAAGAAATATTCTCAAATTGTAATCACTTCCAAAAAATACAGAAGTACATAAAAGCTCAAAAGTCCCCTTTTTTATCTACCCAGATTCCTTTTAGTTACTAACCTGACGACCAGTGGGCGATAGTGAGTACTTCAAGCGATGATAGTAATAATAAGAATACTGTATTCTTTGATAGTATATGTGATAGTATAATATATATTCTTTGACAGTATATATAGTATAGTTATATTTTAATAAAATTTTAAAATGAGTTAGGTTAATTCTATACGAATATTGTCAAAGATATGAAAAAGCTGTATAATAATTGAAAAAGAAAAGAAATTAGATAGAAAGTAAAAAATGGAGTAGTTACGATTATAGAATGTAAGTAAAATAATAGCAGATAAGTAAGAACACAAAAAAATACTTAAGATTAAATAAACAAATTAATATAAAACACGTCTTATACTTTAGTCTTTAAAGACATATTACACCATATGTAATATTTCATAGTTTTTCTTAAAACAAAATATACATTTTTTTTATTCTTATTAATAATAATAGCTTTTATATTTAAATTCAAATAATGAGTTTGCATCTAACCATTCCTATCTTTCTAAAAACAATAGATAAAATAAACACGCTTAATATAATTTAGATAAGACCAAGATATGGCTACCTAATATAGCATATTTTTTATACCATATTTTCTATTATTTTTTATTTTGTTTATATTGTTTATTAAAAATTGTAAAAATTGATATCTTTGTAGAAATGCAATTTCACTTTGATTGGTTGACATAAAAGAAGATACTCTTTGGACCTATCAACGTGGTATTTAAATATGACATGAGTTATCGTTTTGTAAACATTTGACAATACTGTTATGTAAAGTATATGTATATACTAATAATAAATGAGTATTCAAATTTGAAAAAGTCATTGAGTGAAAATCTATGAAATTTAATAGTCATAAAAATGCGTGAAAATCAAACAAGTATAAATGGAAAAACGATATTGATAACTGGATTTGGGCCATTTGGTAAACATATTGTTAACGCAAGTTGGGAAGCTGTGAAAGAATTGTCTAAATTGTGGCCGCAATCAAAATTATGTAACATTCAACTAATAACAAAACAGATACCTGTATCTTACCAATACGTGTCTACAGAAATATCCAAATTATGGGAAGAGTATGATCCTATAGTACGTAGCTGTTTAATTCATGAATTAAATAATAATTAAATTAGTAAACATGATGATTAATTGGTACTGTTTTGTTTAGATTGTTATACACGTTGGTGTTTCTTACAAAGCATGTTGCTTAACTATAGAACATATTGCTCACAATGCAGGCTACGTAAAACCGGACATAGATGGTAAATGGCCCCATGAACTACAGGTCGTTTGTCGTGTTTTAGAAACTAACATAAATGTTAACAAACTTTGTGACAGTATTAATGAGAATTCAAAGGAAAGCGGATGCACTGCTTGCGTTTCCCATAATGCTGGAAGATATTTGTGCGAATACATATTTTATCAATCATTGAATATTAAAACGCACAAAACGTTATTCGTTCATGTTCCTGATCTTAATGTATATTCTAGCCTGCAAACTGCCAAGGGTTTATACGATATCATATATTTTCTTATTAAAACTTTAAACGATGATTAAAAAGATAATTAACGTTATAGTAAAAAATATAAAATTTTACTATTATCTTATAAAAAAACCACATTGATACTTAATATCTGTCATTTTTAACCTTAACATTTAATATAAATACATAAATTGCAAATGTATGGTTTAATCACTTTATTATGAACCATCCTGATGAAATTTCGTTCGTGTAGGTGGAATATTATATCTGAGTTCAAGAAATTCAGGTTTACGTAACATTGTAGCAACATGTCCTAACTGTATCGTGCAATCTGGATTTAAATTAGATGGTAACAATGTACACTCTCTTTCCAGTATACACGCTAAGCCTTCTAATAATTCTACAAAACCCATAGAAGCTGCTGCTCTGCGTAACCTATTTACTTCCTATTAAGAAAAAAGGAATCAAAATTGTTTAAACATTAACAAAAAATTCAATAGACAGATACCTTAAACATACCTTGTAAAAATTTTGCGTCTTCTCTGGCAATTTTCTAGCGTGTCTTAAAATTTTTTGAATATCCGATTGTAACCCTAGTTGTCGAATCCACGAAGGTGCATTTTGTGTATAACTTCTTTTCTCTGTAGGTCTAACAGGAAAAGAAACTTGCGCTCCTTGAGCTGTGTCAACTGGACCTAAATTATTGAAATTACCTAACCATGGTATGATATCAACTCCTGGTTCTAGAACTGTTAACATTAAATTAGATTTCTTTTTTGTATCTGCCCAGGAATAAATAAAGCCGAACCATTCATTATTCAATAAACATAGAGCTGCCATAGTTTCTACCTACAAATAATTATCTTAATTAAATACTTTTCTATAAAACTAATATAATAAGTAGTGATAATAAAGAACCTTCAGAGCTCCATGAAGTAATACACAAAAAGATGGCGATTTTCCATCGTCGCTGTTCTCATCCGTATCATCAGATTCCTCTTCCAATGTCACCCCTTGCATATTTGCATTTTTTTCAGTGGGCAATGGCAAAACTAAATGTCTGGAAATAGCGTTTGGACTACCAACATCTGCCACTGATATAAATCCACAAATTTCAATATTTTTCGATACCATTAAACCAGATATCAATTCAAAATCTTTTTTTTTTGTATATGGCTAAAAAAAATATATATATATAGATATATATATAGATATAAACTGTATGTAATGAAAAGTTTTAGTTAAAGATAATAATATACAAAAAACAAAATAGTTTCATTTACATAAAAATTATTAACAAAAAAATTACCATGGGAGGTGGAGATAGAAGAATACGCGAACCCAAATAGCCACACTTTAAATAGCCTTGGAAAGACACATAATTTGTCTCCGCTAATTTCTGAAAACATATTGCGACAGAATGCTTTGTGAGAGGAGAGTCTGGGACTAAAATTATACTGTCGCATCCAGCTAGATCAATTAGGCGCTGATAAAGAGGTAAGCCTACAGATAAGCTTGGATCTAAATTATATAAATATATAAATAAGAAAAATATATATATATAATATAAATCTCTAATATAAAATATATCGTAAATAAATATTACCTTGAGTCGGTGCAATACAAACGACGCTTAATTTTCCTGGGTATGGAAAAGGTAATGGAAACGGATTCATATCTCTCGTCACATTTAAAGAATTTAATGAATCTCCCAAAGACATTGGTCCAATTCCAGGATTACCATCTGTAATTAAAACAACTTGACAAGCCGTAGTATTGCCCCATTCTGCCATAATTGCATTATTGACGCCATGTAAAGCTGTTTCGATGCAAGTCTTGTCGCATTCTTCTATATTTTGTAATTTTGCACGTATGCTATCATAGTCACGAGTAAATGGACATAATACTTCATAAAGCGATGAAAATAATACCTGAAATAAAATTCTGCTATAAAAAATTCAATAATCTTTTAAATTTAAAACATGTAAACAAATAAAAGAATATATTTATTAATTTTTACCAGGGAAACAAATTCCAATTTGGAATTAGTTTGTAAGTAATGTAGCAATGCATTTATTCCATGAATTGCTAAATGATGTCTTGTTAATTGTTCACTTTGAGAACTATCATTTCCCACAGATCCAACCGTTGCAGGACGTCTCATCGAAAGAGATACGTCTAATGCTATGACTGTTGGCATTTTACTAGATTCATTTAAATACTTCAATTAAAATATATTTAATATTTTTATATTATCCTTTTAACCTGTTGAATTGAAGAACATAATTATTATTTTGTTTTTATAGGTTAAGTGTACAAAGTATCTATAAATACAAATGCATCAAATTTAATAACACTTATCTCATATACAATTTTTTAAATGAACAATTAATTTTTTTCGTAGTATATTAAATAAACTTACGTATATCGTTTGATTAAGAAGAAAAAATGACTAAAAGAATGAAACAATTCCTACGTTCGAACCAAGTGTATTTGCCGTGTTATATCTCACGTGTTAGTGACAATAACATTTCAATAATATTCGCTAAATTAAATATGAAATAATGGTTTATATACTTTCATAAAAAGTCATAGAATAAAAATTAATTAAAAAAATTTAATATTATTATTTATCAATATAAATGTGAATCGTTTAATAATAATAATCATTTATTTCTATTCACCATGTTGAACAGAAATGTACATAGGACTCTAAAATTAGTTGCAAACGCATTTCGAATTTACGAAGGAAATAAAAATAATGTAATTCATGCAAAATGTTATAGATCGTTCAATCTAATGATTCAACAATTTTTAGAAGAAACTTGGAACAATAACATGCACGTTAAACAAACTTTATCTAATACATGTCAACAAAATTTAATAAAGGCTACCACAGATATTAAACAATATAATTCATCTTTGACAGATTTGAACAAAAATGAAAAGAAAGAAACTTTAAATGCGTTAATAAAATCCATGTATCAACAGCCTATACATTTATTGATTAATGAAATAAATGATATTGATACTGAGTTTTGTAATCTTTTGGAGGCTATGTCGCATTATGATATTTTTAGATCATTGATATTTTTCAATAATATAATACATTCTAAAATAATAAAATTAAATTTTTATAATAAAGCCATCGAATCTTTAAAAACAGAAATAACTAATAAAATTTTTAATAAAGATGAAATTATATTTTGTCTTTATTTCTTCGGTTTGAGAAAAGATAAGAATGCAAGAAAGGATGTTAGAGCCTTTTGTAAATATCTCAAATTCGATGATTTGTCCTTATTTGAAAAATGCATTGTATCTGAGACGTTTTTTAAATGTGGAATTAAATTATTACCGAGACAAATTAAAAATTTAGAAAATTTGATAGAAAACGAAGCCAAATTTCTGGTTAATAATTTGAATCTTTTGGTACCTTTGTGTAAAGTTTTACGACTTGCTGGAAATTCCAAGGATTTTTGTCCGAGTAATTTAAACAAAGAAATAGTTAACTATAGTAAGAAATATGAAATAATAGCAGCAGTTCATATTTTAAAATTATATTCCAATATGTACTTTTCGGAACCCAAAGTATTAAAACGCCTAGTTGAAGATATCGTAGAAAGTCTATCATTGATAAACAAAACATTTCAAGTTAAATCTAATATCTACAAGAAACAAATCTATAAATCTAAATACATAGATGGCTTTTTATGGAGCATTTGTATATTAAATTACAAATTAACGGATGTACAATTGTTGGAAATTACCAATTTTATCGATAACATACAATCTTTTATCTACGATGAACCTAAGGAATTGTTACGTATATTGTTATCCTTATGGATTCTTGGATATAAAGCTGAATTTGTACGTTATACGTTTATCATTTACAATATTTATGTTTTATATGAATATCTTATATAGAAAAATATTTTTTAGATGATACAGGAATGCATTAAAAGAAGTATTTTTCTTCAAGCGCACAATAATAAATTCTGGAAAATAAGAGCGAGTCTATGTTTGTTGCTACATACCATTCAAATTGAATCTCCGGATATTAAATTGCCAAATGATTTAATTACTGATGTGTATGTAGCATTGAATATACGAAAATCTGTTAAAATTTTATGCACGATTGTAAATGGACTTTCCAAAGAAATGAAAATTCAAAACGTTCTTATCAATTCACCTGCTAAAGGAATTTATATTCCGGGTGTTAGTTTCGATCATCTAACTTTAGGGTATTAATCTAAATAAATAAATAATTATATATTTATATTATAATATTTATAATTACACATGTTATCATATGTATTTCTGACTATCGCAGGTCCTTTCATATTGATCTGTTAAGCAACACTACGTGTTTACGATATTCTAAAACTCCACATGGTTTATTGAACTTAAAACTTAGGTTGATTAAACAGCTCGGTTATCAGTCTATACTAGTAAATATCTAATTATATCTAGTATATAAAATATAATATTAATACGATATACATTTTTATATTCTATTTTTTATTTTGCAGATCGACGAAAACGATATCGAAGATACAATTGTTGCCTTTAAAAATATCGAAAAACACTTGGATCAAATACTACACACTAAGCAATAAATAATTGATATTAATAAGAAAAAAAATTACATGTATTTATATATATATATATATCACATATCGTTTCAGTTCACAATTAAAAAGTCAGCAAATATTAATTTCATATGATAAAAAATTTCTTAATTAAATCTAATGAAACAACGCACGGTATATATTACTTAAAGTTTTTTACATCAAATTTGAAAAGTGTTAAATAATCTTACATAAGTTTTAACGAGATTAATATAATATTTAAATATAAAGAGATCCATCCGCTGGTCCTAAATATCTCATCGAAATTAATATTACATCAATTAAAGTCCATACACCGAGTCCTCCAAAACTAAATAATTTTCCAATACCCTCTTGCCAATGTCCCAAATAGAACCTGTTTAGTTATTGAATATCGCAATTATTGAAAAATTACTTATGTCTCTAATATTTTATTATATCAGCAAAATAAAAATAAGAGATCATTAATAAGATAAAAAACTAAAAGTGTATGCTATACTTATCAATAAACACACATGGAAGAAGTGAAACTTCTTACACCTATTTAATGCAATGTATACTAACAGAAATAGGATGCACATGCACATCATTTTTTATTACTCACTGACTCTAATTCTATTTACCGTTAAACATTAAATGAGTATAGAGTCTTATTAGAAGTTTAATTTCAATAATATTAGAAGTTTAAATTACCTATCTGCACCAAAACCTCCTAAAGTAACGCTCAATATCAATGCAGTTGACCACTTGTATCCTACCGTCCAATTGCATCGTAAATTCTTCATAAACTTTCTTTTACCCAAACATAATATGTTACTATTAACTGTACAATTTGTTCTAAACAAAAAAGTACGCATAAAGAGTGAATACTTTAAATAATCATTTTATAATGTTATTTTAATTTAACATACTTGTAATATTGTTGAGGTGACGCTACAGAACTACAAGAATTTTTTAGATGACACTGATGTTCCCAATGTTCGGTTTGATAACAATAACGGCATATGTATTCTTTTTGAAAACTCTGTTTACCCTAATTATAAACAAAAAAACAAACAAAATGAGAAATAAGAAAACAATCAAATAGATTTATGAAGCGTTAGGTTATTTAATACGTACTACACAATTAACATATTCCGCTATAGTACAATTTGCAATATAAACATCTCCGTATATACAACTGAAATTTAAATTACATTTTAAACATTCTGCTCCTAACTCGTTACACTGTACTCCAGCTGGACACAAACCTAAAATTTCTTCCTACGGTAGTACATACAATTTTAAATTAAATCTTTACGTTTTTAGATAATTATGTATAGTTAAATATGCATGTAATGTAATATGTGTGTAAAGAAACAAAACTTACTTTTTTATTGCTATAAACAAGCGTAGAATTTGCATTAGAATCTCTTAAAGCATAATTCATTACACGATCTGTAATATCAAATAATATACAAAGAAATTATTTTACTATTTGATTAGATGATTATTATAATAATAAATACATATGAAAGAAATTTACCATTACCGTAGCACATATGCACTTCTTTAGCAATATGTGATAAAAGCGCGAAGAAGATAAAAATAACGTTTTTTGAATTAACATGAATTACGTTCATTCTCGCAACAAGAGCAATGATATTTTGTTTTTTAAAAATATTATTTAGCAACTAATTTGCAAATACTGAATTTATTCATACACATGCCATAACATTCTTGGATTTGGATCGACCTATCGTTCTTAGCATTCATAAACAAATAAGTCAAACGAAGAAGAGAAGAAGAAAAATATAACCTATGAAATATATTTTCATTAATTATATAAAATAATTATATCTCATTGTGTATGTTAATACTAACTTAAATAATTATTATATTATTATAATTTATTATTTCTTATTTATATTTAAGATAAAATAAAAAGTGTATATAATTCGAATATAGGCCAAAAGTAGCTTTTTAATAAACGTATGCTGATTGGTTGAAACTTTACAAAGTAAGAGAAAGGAACTAATCGTCGTTGAGAGAATATTATTCCAACCTTCAATGTACCCAATTACGTCTATCTAGTTACTAGTGATTATTATGGCATGAAATATTACTTGCTAGTTCTATGCAGTTGCTTTATTTAGTGACTACGGGATTCGCGTATATTAACACGCTGCAAATTCATTTCAATAGAATTTTATGATTAGGTACGTAACAGGAGCATGTATATATATATATATTAGATGTGCATGTAATGTATTGTTACTGATAGATGTACTTTTTAATATCCATATGTTGGTATACTAGAAAATAATGTATAATACGAGAAATGTTAATGAATACAGTACAAATAACGAAGGTTATGTTATCACATAGTTTTAAGTCCTATTCATTTATTTCTTGAGTTTTTACCAGTAGATCAAATTACTGTCAAAATACAGATATAAAAATTCGTTTAAAACAGTGTTACAAGATGGAGACAAAAGTTTATCTTTTCGATTGATGTATGAAACAAGAGTTGCCATATTTGAAGTCTTACAGATCGTACGATTATTACGAATCACAATTTTTTTAATACATTCGAGAACCATAACGTTATAATCTTACAAGAATAATATTGTTTTATTTATTGATATTTTTGTTTGAATATATATTTACGTATGAAAAAGTCAAAATCTATAATCTATAATCTAAATAAAAGTCAAATATCTATACAATTGTTATATGATTGTACTCATTTAAGAAAACATTTGTGCGCATTTCTACTACTCTTGTTTACATCAGTAATATTTGAACTAACGCATAGAAAAGGATATCGAAAAAGTTACTTTAATTAATAAAACGGTAAGCTTTTGCATTTTTCCATAATATTCACTATTACAAATTATTCATGTTGCACTTCATTCATTTTTAGAATTAATTATCTATTAGTCACTTTTACACATTCATATTTATTTTCATCTGACAAAGAAATAACATGCATGATTATTATTAACATTTTATTATTTGTTAATTAAATGTTTGTATTTTACAGGAATAAAAAGAAAATGAAGATTAAACGAAGCAAATCATTAACACCAGAACCTTCTGGTAGTAGTGAACCAAAAAAACCCAAACTCGAATTAGATTCGTCCTTGAATTTGCAAGATTTTTGCGATGACATTTTACTGAATATATTAAAGTATTTAAGTCCGCCAGATCTTTTGGCATTGAGCTTGTAAGTTGAATCTAATTACAATATATAATTTATCTTTTTCCACTATCTCTTTTTATAAAACAAAGCTTAATTATTTAATTTTTAATCCGATATCTTAGATGTAGTCAACGTATGTCGCAATTAACCGAAGATAGAACATTATGGAAAAAAATTGATTTTCGCAAACATCAAATACCTCTGAAAGATATAGAAAAATATATTAAATTCTTTCAACCAACAACAACTAGTCTATCGATGCGTGGTGATTTGGGAGCCAAAGAGGGTATGAAATTGACACAAACATTTTTTCGTACCTTAACCGATCATTGCACTCAGCTTAAGGAATTAATTATAGAAAAATATTATATAGATGGTAATAAGGTAAATATTAATGACAAATTTTTTACATAATGTATAGATTTTATATACAAAATGTTTCAAAATATGTGGGCACAACTTCAGGGGTGGTTCTCGGCAATTCAAACAATAATTGATATTTTTGAACAAGTGAGAAGATTTATAATATTTTTGAAAGCCTGCATTGAAGTCGAAGGTGCCTGCATTGGTTCGAAGGACTTCGAACAGTATCTATGAAAATTATTTAATAACAAGTATAATATAAAAACAACTATGATATTCGGAAACAAAATGTCATATCGAGCATGATTAAATGAATTTTGTTCTTAGTTTAGCATACTGAAACCAGTCTTGAAGTTATGTTTGCATATTTTTAAACACTCTATATATATCCATTATTAATTTGTAATTTACAGATTGAAATAACAGATTTTCCAGAAACGCTTGAAAAGCTTTCATTCGCAGGATGTCAAATGGATCATTTGCAAACTAATAAGTCATATTTTTTCAAAATTGATCTCCACATGACTAATTTAACAGTAATTATTCATTATAATGTTTTAAACATTTGATAGTTTTGAAACATAAACATCTTAACATGTGTGTGCGTTTGTTTTATTTGCAGTGCTTAATTTTAAGTCATTGTCAATGGCTCTTGCCGCATTCTTTATTAGTAATTAGTAAAATAGCCAAACTTAAAGAACTTAGAATGAATTCTTGTCGTCGTTTGGGTGAATGCGTGGCTTATTCAAGTTTGGCTACCAGATTTGGATTTAAAAAATTAGAGGTATTTAAAAAAAGAATCTTTTTTCATACAATATTATTGTTTATTATATAATAAGTTTTTTTAATAAATAATTAATTTTTGTTAATTAATAAAGACTTTAGATTTACGAGATACTGCACTCGGAGATAGCGAAGTTAGTTGTTTTAGTGGTACTAAAACATTGAAACATTTATATTTGGAACATCCAACTAATATTATAAACTACACAGACTTAAATCCACCTTTCGAAGATGGAAATTTTTTTGAAGTGAGTAATTTCTTTGTTTTTTATTGGTTAAAAATATTAAACATTTGTTTAAATTTTTGAGAAATTAAAAATTAAAGAGAACCGACCTCTCAAACCCATAAAAGGGAGAGCAATAAAGATTATAAATTAAATATTATAGCAATTATTAACGCTTCATATCTTATTCAGTATATACCTGAAAATCATTGGGACAATGAAGGACATCAAGGACGCTTTATCTCAGATAGAGCGATTCGTGCCATAGGAACTACTGCAAAAAAAGTTATTCACACTTCTCCACATGGGATTTTAATTTTAGAAGAAGAAAATCGTATATTTAACAATCCACCTCTTAAAACATTAGTTGTTAGGTAAGTAATTATTGACAGCGGAGTTTATATATCAAAAAATAATTTTTCAATTATTGTACAAGCATACCATACATGCTGAATATGACGAATCTGTCTTTTTTTTTTTTTTAGGAATTATTCACGGATCACTAATTCTAGTCTTATTTATTTATCAAATCACATATTAAGTTTAGAAACTTTGGATGTAACTGGTACATCGGTTACCAAACAAGGCGTTCAAACATTCAAATCAAAAAGACCGAACGTTAAAATTATTTCTTCGTTTGATGATACGTAGTTACTTTTTAACATGTTTGAAAGTCTTTATCGTGCACGAACGTTCGATGTTTTGTATAATTGTCATACCTTCAGAGGGCATTTCGTTTTCCAGTTTATAAAAAAAAATAAAACAATCACAACTTGAAGAAAGACTAATTATATATATTTATGGAATGGAAGAATAATATCCTAATTATATGTAAATATATCTTATTATTATACCTATTATAATCATCATAAAAATAAGAAACGATTTAAATTAAGTCCTATATGACATAAGTTGATATAATAATTTTTAAGTAGACAATATCACATGTTGCATCCTTATTATTATCAAATTTATACGAGAAAGGTGATACGTATATATATATATATATATATTTGTTCTTTTTTTCTTCTATTTTTTTAGATTTATTATGTATATATAACATATTTAGATTAAACTGCACATAATCCCTTATTATAATAGATCTTTAACAAAAAAAATAAGGAAATAAAGAAGAAAAGAAAATAATTATGTTAATAATATAGAACAAATTACGATGAATTATAGAATAATATTATCTATTTACAAATCTTGATCAATGGTATAAAAAAATGATAATATGAAGTATTCAATGCTTCTTTGATAAGATATCGATTTATCCAGAGACTAAAGAAAGATTAGAATTAATGTGATAATAATAAGAAAATATGAAAATTTTTCGATCTCATTTAAACACCGTAGATATAATGCCGTAATGTAAAGTATTCATAAATTTTCTGATTTTTATGTAACAATAAAATATGTGTCACAATAACAATGGTTAATATACGAATAAATTTTGATAATATACAATTATATCATATTTTTCTGTAAATAATATACTTTGAAAATATTAACAAGGGGTTTATAAAAAAAAAAAGAATATGTTAATTAGAAAGAAGTCAGATAAAAATAGAATTATTTTGTAGATATTTTATCGACTTTTATCATCGAAATCTAGAAAAATAAACATAAAAGTTGTTTTATCATATCAAGTAAATAGAATGAATTTTAGTTTCCATTACAATCCTTATCAAGATAATCAAATATTGTTATATTCCTATACCCCTACAGGTATTATTTCTTCCACGAACGATTAGTACAATGAAATTGACTTATCATTCTGTTAATAACTGCATATCATCGTGACTCAGAATTTTTTAATGATCATCTATCTCTCATTACAGCATCATATAATTCAACGCGCCTACGAAAAGAGCGTCACAATAACGTTTGATACGCGAGAGATCGCATCATTCAACGTGACTTCGAGTAATTATTGTTGATTCACTTAATACCATTCGGATACCATAATTCTGTAAGATATATATTTATTTTATTACTCGAATTGTCTTAAAACTTTTTTAATTTTCTAATGATTTCGAAAAGAATTCACAAAACATATATTTGTTTGTTTAAAATATTTATATTATATTATTAGAGCGTAATTATATATATATAAATATTATTTCAAGATAGACGCGTAAATTTATTCCCGACGAAAAATAATATAATATTTTACTCAAAATTAAATTTTTCGTTTAAAATAATTTTTGAATTTATTTATGTGTGTGCGTTTATAAATATATTTTTTTTTAATTTTTGTTTCTTATTGTTAGTTGTTTGTGTGTAGTGGAAACTTTATCACACGAATTGTTTGGAAATTTCTCTAATATCTTAATGGCTTTAAAGATAATTGATAAGATGTATTTATGTGTTTTAAATGGTTCTATATAATTAAGTAAGATAAATACGTTAAAAATAATTTTCGAATATATTTACGTGTGTTTATATATATTTTTTCTTTCGTTCTTTTTTTTAGAAATCCTTGTAGCAGATTTTGAATTGATAGGAAAAAATCAAGAAAAATCTCAAAATGCCTACGACATTAGAATTACTGTTCGGATTAATTGCAATTATCGTAGCATTGTACTACTACTACACATCAACTTTCAATTTTTGGAAAGAACGCGGCGTGGCTGGACCAAAACCATATCCGATTATAGGAAATCTTGGAAGGGCTTTGCTAGGAAAGGTTTCTACAGGAGATTATTTGAAAGAACTTTATGATAATCCCGAATACAAGAACGAACCGATGATCGGAATATTTATAAAAAAATCGCCTGTTTTAATTCTGAAAGATCTGGATATGATCAAGAATGTTCTTATCAAAGATTTTTCTAAGATTTGTGATCGTGGAGTAGTAACATCTCCGAAGGTACAAATAAACATATATTTATCTATTTAACGATAAACAACGTGATACGTTAATATATTGTAAGCTATTATTGTATATTCTTATTTTTCTTCATTGAAGCTAAACAAAAAATGAGGAAAAACATAAATTAATCAACATTGATCACATTTTTTTTTATCTCTTCCGTAATAATATCACGTATATTATTATGATTCTATTTGCATTATTACAAAACTTGCTTCTTTACGATGATTAGCCTAATTAATTCGCGAGTTATATCAAAAGAAATATGAACATGTGATTCACCTTGAGCTATCTATTTAATTTCAAGCGACAAGAAAAAATATACAACGTATTTCAAATACGCCAATCTTTTTCCATATATAAATAATTATATTAATTAATAATTATGATTATTATTAATAATATAAAAGATGAATAATTTGTTTTATTTGCCTAGGTCGAACCATTGTCACAACATCTTTTTTCTTTGGAACCGAAAAAGTGGCGACCGTTAAGAACCCGACTTTCACCAATTTTTACTTCGGGTAAATTAAAGGAGATGTTTGGTCTAATAATAGAATGTGCTGATCATTACGAAAATTATCTTGAAAAAATCGTTAGCAGAGGTGAACCGATAGAATGCCGTGAATTAACAGCTAAATTTACTACCGACGTTATCGGTAGCTGTGCTTTTGGATTAGAAATGAACGCAATAGGAGATGAAGATAGCGAGTTTCGTAAAATGGGAAGATCGGTCTTTGAAGTATCTTTTCTTAATATATTAAGAAATCGAATTAGAAATATGGCTCCTTGGCTTCTCAATATCTTAATTTATTTTATCCGACGAGACAAGGTTACCGCATTTTTTAAAGGATCAATAGTAAATACTATTAAATATAGAGAAGATAATAATATCTATAGAAACGACTTTGTTAATCTTTTAATGGAACTGAAAAAAAATCCAGAAAAATTAAACGGCATTGGTATGTATATGTTGCATACATGTTTTATTTTATTTTCAAATGGATTTTGTTTTTTGAACAAATTGTTTACCTTTTTTATTTTTATCTGAAATTTGAAATAATTAACAAATGATTTTTTTTAATTGTAATTTAGAGTTAACGGACGATCTTCTCGCCGCTCAAGCTTTCGTATTTTTCCTCGCGGGCTTTGAAACTTCATCAACAACAATAACTCATGCTCTTTACGAATTGGCTTTAAATCCTACGATGCAAGATAAGTTGAGACAAGAAATTAACGAGTTGTATGAACACAATGGAGAGAAATTGCAATATGAAGATGTAAAAGAAATGGTTTATTTGGATCAAATATTCCGTGGTACGTGCTTAGGTTTTAAATAACATTTCTTCTCTTTTTCTTCTCTTCAAATTGTTAGAAAATATGAAATAATAATAATAATAATAATATTATTATTTATGTAGAAACTTTGAGGAAATATCCACCTGTAACATTTCTTATGAGAAAAACAATGACGGATTATACGTTTGAACATACAAAAGTTACAATACCAAAAGATATAAAAATTTGGATACCAATTTATGCGATTCAACGAGATCCAGCAATTTTTTCATCACCGGATGTCTTTAAACCTGAGAGATTTAGCGATGAAATGAATAAAACGAGACACGCGATGACTTATTTGCCTTTTGGAGATGGTCCACGAAATTGCATTGGTAATTAAGATAAATAAAAAATAACTTCATTATTGAATTGTGTTTGAAATGATTCAAATTTGAAAAATTGTATATATTTGTATTATTATTTATTTATGTTTGTTTTTCAGGATCCAGATTTGCCGTTTATCAAACTAAAATAGGATTGATAAAAACTCTGAGAAAGTTCAAAGTCGAAATTTGCGATAAGACGCCTATTCCTTACAAAAACAATCCCAATACGTTTATTTTGTCGCCAACTGAGCAAATATATCTCAAATTTAGAAAAATCGATCAGGATCATATTTAAATTTTGCATTTTTAGATTAAAAGAAAAAAATAAAAAAATTAAATTAAGAACTTTTGTATATATAAAAAAAAAAACGTTTTTCTTAAAAGCTAATACGAACATATTTTAAATTTGAACTTTTATTCGTTTTTATATTAACCGACAGAATGAATGTATGTTAAGATAAAAAATACACTTATATTCAGTTACCGATATTATCTATATATATTCTATTCATTTTTTTAAAAGATCAAGACTGATGTAATTATTATTTTTTAAATATTAAGAATATATAGATTGTACTTTTCATTTATTATTAAGAATTTAATTAATCGCTCATCCTACATATAAATTGATTTGAAAGTAGTGGCAGCTATCGTAAATTGGCTTTGAAAGTTATAGAGAAGCATAGATAAAAAAAAAAGAAACAATAATAACACACAAGTAAGTATAATATACTGTCGGTTATCTGAGTTATTTCAAAGGTCGCAAAAACTCAGTATACACGGAACTTTCGAGGGATAAACATCATCGACTCTTCAATACTAATCGAGTGTATATTATTATCTCGAAAACGTTTTAAATAAGTATGTACAAGAATTTACCGTAAGAAAATCGTATAAAACTGGTATGTGACACACAGTAATTAATATTAATAGCATCGAATATTATTTTTTAATTTAATTTAAGGTTTTTTTGCAAATAACGTAAACGAATTTAGTGCAATAATTATATTTACTATAGAATTATTAAAATAAAAGTTGCAGAAGCGTGTTCGAAATACATTTAACGCTTCGAACATATAAATATAACTAGATTTATGAGTGCTTTGTACTCTCAGTCATTAATAATATATTATAAATAATATATATATATATATATAACGTACGTTTATGCAATACTATGTATATATATATATATATATACATAGTATTAATATTATTATCAATATCCACTTTCATCAATACAAACTTTTCTGTAATCTATATTTTGAATGACGAATTTCTGTTACAAACTATTTTGTAATGTACAAATTTATCTCTATAATGAGAAATATATAATTCATTAGATAAAAAAGTACAATAAATATGGAAAAAGTCATCTATGGTATACACTATGCTGTTTCGTATATAATACAATTAAAAATCGTATTATAATAATCAAAAAATCATTGGTGCAATCCACAATTTAACATTTCAAGTATATCCAAGTTTCTAAATATTATATTTTAATTAGAATTCAAATAACAATATTGTGGATTATCAAAATGATTTTTATTGTATAAAAATCAATCAAACAAATGTTGATTTTTATACAATAAGTACACATGATTTATTTTTATTAAAAGTATTATTAAAATGTTAATACTGTGATGTTTCTACATCCTCTACACCGGAAATACTAGCTTGTTCCAATACCTCGAGAAGTTTCTGCATTTCCATCGAATCCGAGGAACTGTCTAGCGTTCGTTCAAGTGCTCGTACATAAGACATGCATGTTCGACCTTCGTGATCTAAATTTTGCGGATTTGCCTTATGCTGTAATATTCAATATACAACGATTATTAGACCCCAAATAGATTTTTTCAAAATTATTTTTTTATCTTATCTAAATATTTTTATAATTATTCGTGGAAATAGCTACAAACCCAAATAAGAAGTTGAGCCATAGCTAAATTTCCTGTTGCACAAGCTAAATGAAGGGGCGTTCGTAAATCTTCGGTGCTGACAGAGATATTAATATCTTCGTAACTACATCTAGCTAAACATAATGTGAATGCTCTCATATCGCCCCTATATATTTTTAAAATCCAACAAATATATGTTAACTCATAAATTTTAGATAATTATTACTTAATTATAATCGAAAAAAAATAGTATATCTCGAGCTCACCGACAAACGGAATCAATAAGGATTTTTCCTAACGAAATATTTGGATTAATCGGTGTTAAAAAAGATTTCTCTTCGTATTTCCATCTAATCCATTGTTCCTTTTCTTCTCTTGTTGATTCCGGATTTGGTTTTTGTTTTCCATTCAAACAATATTCCCAAATACTATTTGCTATGTCATTACCAAGAGCTAACATTACGCTTAATTGACCTGCGCTACATTTAACGCATTATTATTTTACATCATTAACAATTAAATCTTATACCTTAATTTTTGTTATGATCAAAAAGTGAACGTATATGAAAATTGAATAATATCCGATATATACATAAGGTGCGTATAGATGTAAATATTCATTATACTTACGACCAATCATCCAAGTCTAATGATCTGACTTTCGAAATATGCGATCCTAAATTTCTATGTATACCAGAACATTCAATGCACATCAGTACACCTAAATTTAAACTGGCCCAATCGGGGTCTAAAATTATATTCATTATTACAAGTTATTAATAATTATAACTATTACTCGTTTGCAATTACTTACTAGGCGCACCACAATCAACACACGCGTCATTTCCAGAGACCTTATTTTTTATACAATGCATTTTAAAAGCATCCGTCTCATTTTTTTTTTCGCCGTCACTGTTTTGCAAGCTAGATAGTATTTGCTGTTCTATAGCGGAAATCCAGCTCTCTCTGTCTTCGGCATTATTAGCTTCAAAATGCCATGTTTTATTTTCTAACGAGATGATTGAAAATTCAAAACTATCTTCTGAAAATGATTAATACGTAGAGTAATTTATTATTTTGTTTAAATAATATTCTTATATCAGAGACGTTCTAAATATTTACCTTGAGTATTTGATAATTTTGAACCTTTTGGAGTTTTTCCAGGCACTTTCACAGTTACGTACTGTAACAATATTTCTTTACCATTGCTATCATTCATATAATCCTAAAATAGATATTTTTTATATATACATTGAACAAAATATAACAAATGAATTATTAATAATATTATTTTTATTCATAATTACGTGTAAACTTGAATGATAAGTTAAACGTCCATCTTCTAACAACGTAACGTATTTCTTTTTCCATTCCTTTAAAGATTTACTACTTCTTTTAAATAAATAACCTTGTTTAACTGGTATTTCTCTGCCAACGCCCATTTCACCCATGTTATATTTTTCTTTCTTCGATGGGGTAAATATATTAGACTTTCTTCTAAATTTTCTATGCAAAAAGTATTATATGACACATTTATAGAAATTCATTTTCTAATGGATATAATTCATTAATAAATTAATCACTCCCAAACCTAATAGTAGTTGGAGTTAAAATAGAAGATCTTAATTCTCCATGTTGATTCTGCGTATTATGAAAACCATCATTCATACCTGATTCAGTTTGTGTATTACTATTATGAATAGATCTAGAGTCTTCATCTTTTTCTGATCCCTAAATATACAATATTTTTAATAAGTCCATATATACGCACACAAGCGTATTCATTTTTTAGCAATATTAACTGTTATTATGTATTAACTAATATTAACTAAATCGTGTCGACGATTGCATATTATGTTTAAATAACATGACACTTTTTAACAAGAAATCTAAACGATGTGGTCATGGGACTCAAACAGTTAAACATCCTCTTACATCAACTTTTAATGAATTTGTCATCTCCATTTCTTTTGAAACCAATTGTACATTTTTTGGAGTCATCGGTACAGGATATTTTATTTCATTTTCGATAGAATATTGTCCGTTGCATCTAAAGTTTTTCGTTGATATACTTTGAATAATTTTTTGACAAACTGCAATATTAAATATAATATCAAATAAATATATTTTTGTAATCATTAATATTTGCATATTTTATAAAGAAAATAATTAACGGATGAAATATTTACCATCTTGAAAAACTCTTTCAACATTCAAGCCATAAATAGCGCATGTTTCATAATACGGACATGTCAAATCGCATGCTAATTTTCGTGGCCTTACGTCTTTTATCACACGTGGATTACTATCGTTAATTGAATCTAAAAGAAATATCTATTTAATAAAGTATGAGAGATATTAAATACTAATCTTTGTTTTAATGTAAAAAAAGAAAAAAAAGAAAAGTACAGTTTACATACAAACCTTGCACGCCAACAAGTATTTTTGGTATTTCAGACATATTACGAAAAGAGCACATTCTATTGTAAAAGTGACATAGTATGGAAAAACTTTCTTCACTTTCCAAACTAAATACTAGCAATAGTGCATCTATCCAAGCAGAAAACTAAAAGATAAAGAAATAAGATAAATATGTATAGATATACAAATCTTAAATTATTGACATTCAGTAATATTAAATATTTAAAAAAGTACCTGTGTTTCCGGTACACCTCCCTCATCCCTTATTAAAAGCAAATAACTTTGATCGTTGATAAATATTTCTTTTTTAAAACGTCCCCCTTCGGGAGATTCTTCGTGCATAAACGAACCAGTTAAATATCTATGAACTAATGCAGATTTTCCTGAATCAGATGAACCAATAATTCCTAAATGTAACTCTGGAACATTTCTAGCCAACGTCCATTCATGACTATTCACAAATGAATCTAAAATCATATAATTAAAGTATTATATTATAAATATAATTTGTAAAATTCAATTGAAAATGAATTTACAAAATTTAATGATGTACCTTCAATAGCAACGACGTGTTCACGTATTTGTTTAGCAATATGCGTATCTGATATTAAATCAATCAAATCATAAATGGCATATATCGATGGATGAACACTTTCAAAACGTTGAATTTCCTGTCGAATTGCTAGCGAGTGATCGTGCCCGCTTTGGCCAGTTGTCATTTTCCTCAAATTATGTTATTTTATTTAAATGAACTATTGTTTCATATTATAGTCACAACGTAACATCAATCAGCATTGTGGTATATACTTAAAAAATTAAATAACCTCTACATAATTCAATTATATTAATGGCCGCTCGATTATCACGCAACATATGTCAGATTTTAAGTATTTATAAACATTATTAGATTGCAACGAATAAATTAGGTTACATGAATTAAACTCCACCTTTTCATGAACATTTGAGATAACTCCGTATAGGCGAATCTTTAAATTTAAGGAATATTTTCATTCCTCGATTTTTTCGACCAATTAACATAGAGAACGGATGCTCTATAAAATGCGCCATTTTTAAATTATATTTGATTTAATATTTGACGTTACCAACTTATTTCTATTTGTTATATGTTCATTATTAAAAAATAGTACATTTAATAATCATTCTATTTAATGAACAGAGACAAGAGGAAATAAACACTTTTCAGTGACAATTAATTATTAATACGTACCCGCTTTTACGTTCGCCAAAATGGCGTATACGCAAATAAATGATTTCAACGTGTAACTTAAAGAAGTTTAAAAGAAAATGATAAAGACAAGACTCGAAGCTTACAGGCGTAAAAAACATAGAGAAGAAATGATAGAATCGGTTAAAAGTTCGATAAAAGGTATTTTATCGTGGAATGAAAATTCTAATGTAAATTTAAGACTGTCTAACGACCTACCGAACGAAGAAACGGAAAAGTTATGCCAGGTATTTTGCTGAAATGTTTTTATCTTTATTTAAATAAATATTATTTAAAAGATTTTAATATTTAATCCTTTTTTCAGCCTGTTGAAACCACAAACCAAAAAATAATATCTAAAGAAAAAATAGGGGATTTAGAGAGTGCAGATGATTTAGATAGTTTGGAAGATGAAACGGAAGATAATGCTCAGTGTCATTTATTATCTAAGTTAATATATTTTTTATATTTTTCCCTATGGATTGTTTTGTATATTATTGCAGTACAGATTGAATTTGGAGCTGTTTATTTTGTGATATCTGCGTTAATATTAATTTGTTTAAATACGAGGTCGAGACCTAGAAAAAAAGGTGAACTCAGTGCTTATTCTGTTTTTAATCCAAATTGCGAAGCTATTGAAGGAACCCTCGATGCTTCCCAATTTGAAAGGGAAATTAGATACGGTGCATCCAGCATGCATTGATACAAAGATACGAGGTACATTTATTATTCTTATCAATCTCAGATAAATGTTATATTTTCTACCTTCTTTTCTTTCTTTACATATATTCAAATAGTATACAAATCTTTCATATTGGTATATCGTTAAAAATGGAAATTAAAAACTTGTATAGAAATGTTTACATTTGAAATTATTTTTTATAAAAGTTTACAGTACATCGTTTTGTGATAGCAGTCTGCATTCAGTGGTAATATTTTCCCATTACCACAGTCTATTGAAATGTAAATATACATATTTTTTTCTATATAAATATTTAACTTTCTTCTACTATTTTTTGTTAGATTTTTTAGATTTCTCTTTTTCTTTTTGATTACCATTCTTGTAGCAATTGAACAGCTGCATCGTAACATTTTTGTAAATCGCTTAAATAACTCAACATGAATGGTGATTGTTCTGACAACGTGTGAAATGACGCTAAGTCAGTCTTTGAGCGAAAATATTTGTCTGGACATAAAAGCGATCTGTCCAAGTCCAATAATATGTCATTCAGTATTCTTGTATTCAAGGACCTAAAAAACAAAAATACAATAGTCAATGATAATGTTAATATTGTATAAACAAAGCACAAGATTTCAAACGTATTTACTTGCTAACATCAGTCGTATCAATCCTTTGGTTAAGTTCTAATACTCCAGACATTAATGTCTCAACGTTCTCTTTAATTTCATCTAAAGTAAAATATTTATAATAATTATTTAATATCTTATACAAAATAATCATAAAGTACCTTTTATATCCAAAAACTTGGATACATTTATGGTTTCCAATACGTTGTTAATGGTGTCGTTAAAGTATTTAACATTCCAATGAAAGACTAAACTTTCGGATAATCTCCAAATGGTGTCGCCTATTAATTGCATTAAAGGAATACGATGCAATTTGAAACTTTCATTGTTAACAGTATTGTTGTTTTTCTAAATAGAGAAATAAGACAAATGAAATATAAATTTTTGTAAATTTATATTTATTAAATAAAATAAATAATATATGCATTCATGTACGCATTAAAAAATCACTTACCATAAAGGAAATGACGGCATGCGGAATATCTAATGCGAGCCGTGGAAATAAAACTTTCTGATATGCTTGATTATTCAGATCGAATACGTTATGGTTTAGAAAAGAGTTTAAATTTCTGATGATACCAACTTCTTGGAGAATGATAGATTGTATCACATCTGATCCGGCAGAGATAAAATTACCATTACCTGTAACACACAAAAATAATTAGTAACATTTTCAAATCGCTTAATTTATTATAATTGAAATATTAATTATACAAATATGGATTAACCTTGTAAATTGTCGTCATATAAAGCGATATAAGCAACAATTTTATGACGTATAAAATTAGACATCATAGTTGGGCAAATATCTAAAGAACCAAAGAATAAACAAAATATGAGCGTGCGACGTGATTTCCAATTATATTCCACCCGTATTTGATTTAATACTTTTGCCAACTCTAACGCGATATCAATCCCATTTCCACTTGCGGATAAAATCACGAATCTGTCTAAATGTTTACAAATATTAATATTTTTCAAATTTTATAGTAACACGAATTTATGAAAAATTGTTAATATATATATATATAAAATATTATAAATAATATAAACTCACCACGTTCTCGAGAACCGCGAGAAGTAGCAAGAACAAAAGAATCATTTGTAACAATTTGATGAAAAATCGGTAAATCGGATAATACTTCACCAATTTTTGAAGTTTCGTTTTTTTTACTGACGGAATTTGTCCAACTCCTGTTTGATAAACAATTAATTTGATTAACTATTTGATAATACAACAAATTATAAAATATAATATTAAAAAAAAACGGTACGTTTGGTAGGATGTTTCTCCTAATTTTTGTAGTAAAAATTGTTGAAGATGTTCGTTATGTTTTAATCCATTACCATCAAATTCGAGTCGTTTCCTTTGAGCGCGAAATTCTATCGATTTTTCAGAAGCAAATCGGCCAAGTAAGAAACCACAAAGTAGACAAATAAATCCAACTGAGAAAAGGAAGGAAAAACACATGCGTTTCGTTACGAATTCGCTCGATTCGCCAAATCCCCGAGCCATTTGAAAACTAAGAACACGCTGCATGTTGTCTTCTTGATTATTTTGTTGAAGAAAAGAAGCAAAAAGGCGAAACAAGAATGACCAAAAAAAAGCAATCTCTTTTCTCGGGAGTTATCAAATTACAATTTTGTTATAATCGGCATATTTTCTTTGCCGAAATCTGCTGCTTCTTCTTTCTTAAATTCTTGATTAACTGCAAACAAAAGTATTCTTATCAATGACATTATATATTCGTTTAAAACAAAATTACGCGAGTGTATTTTTATTTTTAAAGTATGACTACTATTTTTAAAGTTGAACCGTCGAGCTATACTTACTAATTATAAAGATTTTTTTTTTTTTTTTTTTTTTCAATGATAAGTGCATATATATTAAAAGATTTTCTTTCTTTTTAACACTATAATTAATGAATATAATAAAAATAAAATTAGAAACTCGCTGTTACCATTCCATTTCATGTATAACAATATTTTATTTATTCCGAATTAACATATAGAAAAAAAAAATCTGATCCGATAAATATAGACATTGATTAATTATCAATATAACTCTAATTCTATGATAAAAAAAAATCCAAAATATAATAATTAAATTTTATATAATTACGTATATTTAATGAACAAAAAAAAACTTAATCACGTTTTAATATTAAATTCGAGCGAACGTAATGAAATTGAATTGTCGGTTGGTTTCGCGCGCACTTGAATCTCGACGAATTAAAATAATTATCCTTTTCGAGGATGTTCGAGATATCTCGAGGATCGGTGTGAGGGAGGAAGAGGCGGGTAAAAAGATGCCATTCGAGATATCGATTTAAAATTAAATTACGTGGCGCGTACATAAGCAACAACCCAAAACAAAGTAATTAAGGAAATATACTTTAACGAGTATCTTCTTTCTAACGGAATTCGGAATGAACATTACGTTGTTCGCGATTATGGTCACACCTCCTTTCCGTCAACTTCCAGCAGCGATCCGAATCCCGACGCATGTCCGTTTACTCGCTAAACTAGAAGAAATCGATATATTTCCTCCTCCCGTTTCTTTCTGACCCTCTTCTCTCACCCTCTACTTCCTCCATTTCCTCCTCCTTCTTCACTTAATCTTTTCCAACCGAAATTTACTTAATCTCAGTTTTTTTTCTTTTTCTTTTTTTTTTTCTCTCTTTATCATTCTTATTCCCCTTTCCATTTACTTTCGTCGAAACAACTTTACGATCCTTCCTCATCTTCTCTTTTTTAAATAGAAAATTCCTATCTAAATGTTACTTGCCAGGGCCGTATTTAATTAAATGCACGTTGGAACTTCGCTCTTTATGGGACTACGTATTTTTTGTTTTATTTTTTTCTTTTTTTTCTTTTTCAATCTTAAGACTCTACTTATCAAAAATAATAATACATAAAACATACTAATTAAATTGAGCTAATAAAACAGAAGGTAGAATAAAAAAAACGTATACAAAATTTGCGTAAGAATTTGATTAATATTATTAAACTTGTTCTTTTGAGAATACAACAATATCGTGCGTCTAAGAGGGTCTTTAAAAGTATAAATGCGATCCTGTGTTTGTATGTATATATTCGTTCGTGTGTAAAGACGATATTTATAAAATACAAGAAACCGTCGCGTTTTCTTCGCCCGAACTTGTCGTCGTCGTCGTCGTCGTCGTTCCTTCCCGCCGTTCTTAAAACCAATTTTATTTCGGATAATAATAAAACACCGTTTTCTGTTCTCCTACTTATAAATAGAGTTTTCGATGTATTACGTGCACCCACGCAAGGTTGTTTTAACTATAGAGACAACTACTTCCACAATCTCATATGAGAGATCTCAAAATACACACGACAATTTTTCATCTAATGATACGTTGCGCTCCTCCTCCTCCTCCTCCTCCTCTTCTTCCTCCTCCTCCTCCTCTTCTTCCTCCTCCTCCTCCTCTTACTTCTCCTTCTCGTTCTTCTTTCGTCTCTATTTTATAACTAAAGACAAAGTTCACTTATATCTCGCGACGTATTTATTTGTTTGTTTATTTATATATTAATTGCTAATGCAAGTGTTTTTAAATACTAATGTATATATTTTTTTAAGGACTTTTTCTTTCTATGCGTCACGATCGCAATTTTTATTCGATTTTTTGATATATGTAATGAAAGGTTCATTCGAAAGATAAAAGTTTTCTATACAAACTGAACTAATTATTTATTATTTTTACGTATGAGTTAATCATTATAAAAATATACATTTTCATTGTTTTAATTACAAGGTATAATTAAGTTTTAAAGATTCCTAATTTTGTACAAAATCGTTCACAGCAATTCTTCGATCAATCCAATGCCATTTACACAATCAATAAAGATAGTCATTCTGATAGTTAAAAGGGCAAGTTGGAAACCGTATACTAAAACTTATAATATTAACATAGAATTAATTGCATAAAATAATTGACTTGTTACAGAAAATGAAACCTAGAAACATATCGCAAATTTATAATGTAAATGAAATATGTAAATTTAGTAAATATTGTCTATAAAAGAACGTCAAAATTATAATACGAGGTATTATTATAATTATATATTACAAAATGTTTACTCTATCAAATATATATATCGTATCATTATTAAATATATACGTATCTATAATTATTTATATTTCAGGTAACAATGCACAAGTTCCGGAAATTGAAGATTTCTTATTAAAAAAAGAAAACATTTTTTTTCATCCATTACGTTTATACATATAATTTACAACAAATTATGTAATGCATTATTCCATTTGTAATAAATCGACGTGCCTGCTTTTAATGTGATAATTTAAATAACGCTTTTGACGAAAAGCCAATCCACATTTGACACAAACAAATGGTTTAGTTTCAGAGTGGACGAGCTTATGTCTTACCAGTTCAGATTTGACTCTGAATCTTTTCGAACATATATCGCATCCATAATTCTTTTCTCCTGTATGCGTTGTTACGTGCGCTAACATTTCTTGACGTCTACGAAACTTTTTATTGCAATAACTACATGGATGTGGGAACTCATCAGTATGCAGTTTACTATGAATATAAAGTGAAGCTTTAGATTTAAATGTTTTACCACAGGAGTCACAAATGTAAGGTCTTTCTCCTGTGTGCGTACGACGATGATCATCTCTCGTAGCTTTAGATGCAAACGAATTGCCACAAATATCGCACGTAAAATTTTTAAGCTTTGCGTGTACATCTTTTAAGTGTCTTGAAAGCCCACCGGAATCACGAAACTGTTTTCCACATACATGGCAAGTAAAAGGCCTTTCATCCTTGTGTATCCTCATATGTCTTAAATAAGAATCTTTTAATTTAAAAAATTTTCCACACTCGATACATTGATATGATTCCTGTATATCGGAATAAGTTTTTTGTTTTTTTATCTGTTCGTTAGAATCTTTAGTATCGTTTAAAGAAGTTTTACACATCTTGGTTTTCTGTGATTCACTATTTACATTCGGAAGAAATGTTACCATACACGTATTTTCTTCACGATCCATAATTGTGGCATTATTTTGTTTGTACTCTTCTGATATTTCTTTTTTTACTTCTACATCATTATTCTGTTGTAGATCGGATATCGAAGAATGATGGTCAAGCGTTGTATCCATTACAGCTATCCAAACAGAATTACAATCTCCTCCCGCATTTGATTTCTTTTGCTGTAGCTGGCATCTCTTTTTATACGGCTTCCAAAATATATTGTGCATTTCCAGAAACATTTTAAATGTTGTCCGATTGCCACTGGATCTGGAAAATAATCAAGGATTGTGATTAAATTTGTAGATGCGTTCGATGAATGCAGATCTTTACGTGAAAAGGCATAGAAAATCAGTAATGTAAAATAGATTTATAAACAAAATGATTACCTGCTTAAATAATTAGCAGCTTCTTCTTTATGTGCCTCATTTTTAACTTCATTTTCTTGACTGGGCTGTTATAATATTAAATATATATATCATAAAACATTGTACAAATAGATAAAAATAAATAAAAGTATGAAACTATGCTTACAAAATTTTTGTCTGTGACATTAGGTAAATTCATTTCTGGTAGAATTTCTGATTCATAAGTTGACTGTGGTTGAAAGTACTAGATAAGATTTTAAAATAATCATTTAAGTAATCATTTATTCGAACAAAAATTATCCATATGATATACTTAATAAAAACTTACTTGCTTGTTTTCAAATGAGTTTTGTATTTCAAGTAATTTGCGTTCTGCATTCATACATCTTTCTATGAATCCGTGCCATGTTAATAACATGGCTGCACAATGATAACATAAATTCAAAGGTAGTGTGTCATTCTCAGAAATCTGTAATATATAATATTAAAACTCTAAATATAAATATTATGAGATAATATTGAAAATATAATTATAAATATACTTACATGTATAGGTAAATATCTGTGTATTTTATCACATATTGAATATTCCATGCCTTCTCCTTCAAATATTGGAACAAAGTGGTCATATACTTTAGCGCAAGTTCTACATAATCTTGACAATGACATTCTTTCTAAAGATTCGTTTAGATTACATATAGACTCTTCGTTACTAATATTCATATTTCTTTGATGTTCATTTTCAACATCGGTTACTAAAAAGAATTCTTCTTCTCCAGGTTCTATTTCATTATGTTGATCTTGATTAACAATATTTTTAACAGTCTGAAGTAAAACCGAGTCACTTTCGCAAGTATCCAATATAACTGAATTCTCTGTCTCCATTGAATCTGTTTTAAATTAAATAATAATAATACTAAGAAAAATAAGAGAAAAAAAATTTTTTAATATGCAATTACAAAATAATTATTAAACAACAATGCAATATACTTACATGTTTATAAATCCTATTGTTTGTTTATATTAATATTATATATCACAAACAATGAAATATGTCAATAATTATATCACAAATACAAAATCATTTTGTATAAATATTTTTAAGAAATTTAATTATTAGCACAGGGATTTGTAAAAATTTATACAAAAAATCTAAGGGATGCGTTAATGATACTGCGCCACCCGCACACTAATTCATTTATATAAAATTGCTAAAATACTAATATCACATGTAATTTAAAAAAAATGAAAAATAATCTGTGATCAGACATTTATCAGAAGTCAATTTTGCAATCATTTATTTATATTTAGTTCGAGAAATATTAAATATTACACATAAAAATAAAATTATTATAATATTCTTAAATATTTATTTTGTAGTTTTTTAATTCTAGATATCTAGTTAGATTTTTAGCCAGGAACTTTTTGATTTTCGCAGTTGGTTAACCTGTACCAACTAAAACTAAACTTTAAATTTACTTTCTAGATGTGGTTGAGTCTTAATTGTGATAATAAAAACAACGGTTTAATAATGTATTAAAAATAATTGCACACATTGTTTTTAATTTATTTTATATGATTATTAAAAGAAAACGAGAAAATGCAGAAAAGTAGTGGAAATTTACGACGTTCGTTAAGAATAAAGGCATACAATAGTGAGCATGAAAACATCCATAAAACTGAACGTATGTATTTTTTACAAAAAAATGTTCTTAATTGCACCAATATTAATTATAAGTATTAAAATTACTATACTTGAGTAAATACATAATCTTATTTATCGTTTTGAATTATTATAGAAATACAACAAGATAGATTAATTGATTCGTCAATAGAAAAAGAAAACCTTTTAGAAGATATTAGTGAAAATATACAAAAACCAACTGGTATGATAGTTCCTAATTATTTTACATTATTTTATTATATGTAATTTTATTAATTTATATATATATTGTTTTAGAATTATTTAGTGAAAATGATGTTAGCGGTAAGAATATGTATCAGTTTCAAATACCTAAGAAAAACAGTATGGTACAAAAAGCATATTTGTCTCGTATGTCATCCACAGAACAAAAGTCTCAGGTAGCCAAAATTAAAACTAGCAAAAATGCTAGTGCAAAACGCGATAGTAATAATAAATTAATCAACAATAGAAAAAGTCATTCTAAACTAGGTACGACATATACTTTCTTTTTCTTTTTTGTGTTGCAGTATAGTGGGTGATTGGTTAACAAATATAATCCATTCAAAAACAATGTTCGCTACCCAAATTGTTAATTAACCAATTACCTAATGTAATAATTAAAGAGACTATCTTGTTCAGATATAGAGTCAATATCCAGTGATGATGAAAGTGTATCAGAAGAAAGCATTTATGTACCTTCAGAAGATGAAATGGAAATAGAGTCGGAGTACGAAGAAGTTAGTGATCATTCTAACACGAGTAATGATGAAGATAGTATAAAAAAATCTAATTTAAAAATTATGCAGCATAAGATCAAACTACAATCTAAAGTAATTAGTACTCCGAAAAGATCGCAAACTAAATATAAAACTCCTTGCAAAGATTACGTAAGTTTTATAGAAATGTAGTATATATATATATAAACATTATATTTTATTTAATATGATTTCTATTTAAGAATTTTTTATTTGTTTTAGCATATGAGAACCGATGAATATTTTGAGAATCAATCACAGAAAGCTTTTACGTCCAATCACACGCTCGCTCGTCTTCGCAATTCTTGTTTTACTAGAGATAAATTGCAAGAATTATTGGCTAATCAGGATCATATTACTAAAACGCATAAGAAACTTATTTATTCACTCTCAAAAGATTATCATGATTTTTTTCCTATGTGGTATTTTATTATGGAGTAAGTTTTATAAATGAATAAAAAGAAATATTCTAAGGTCCTTGATTAGTATTTATAAAGATGATTTTTTAATTTTAGAGAAGGATATACTCTTTTGCTGTATGGTTTGGGATCGAAAAGGAATTTAATCAACGATTTTCATAATCAATTTATTTCCAATCATCCAACTTTAGTAGTTGATGGCTTTTTTCCTAGTTTAACGATCAAAGATGTAAGATACATTTATTTTTATTATTACAATAATATTATATCATATAAATTTGTATTATTTAATAAAATAATGTAATTTCTTTTCAGATTTTCGATAGCATAATAATAGATATTTTAGAATTGAGTCCACCAACTGCTATAACTGAATGCATCGAACTTATTACCAATGTATTAAAGAAGAATCCGAAAGACCGATTATATTTATTAATTCATAATATAGACGGTATAATGCTGCGCTCTAATAAAGCCCAGGATGCACTTTCAACTCTTGCCAGAATACCTAATTTTTGTATTATGGCATCTATCGATCATATAAATGCACCTCTTTGTAAGTAATATGAATTACATTAATAATTAATTTCTTTTGAGAATAGATATTTAATTATATATTTGCTTGACTCAGTGTGGGATCATACAAAGCATTCAAAATACAATTTTTATTGGTGGGATACTACAACGCTTTTGCCATATGAAGCTGAAACTTCGTATGAAAGTTCTTTATTAATACAACACAGCGGAACGCTTGCTTTATCATCCCTCATCAATGTGTACCTGTCTTTAACATCAAATGCTCGAGCAATGTATAATCTTTTAATACAACATCAGTTGGATAATAGTAATAATAGTGATTTTTCAGGTAATTGTTTGGATATATATATTGCATTTAAAATATCGTTGAAACAAATGTTCTATTTACGTGTTTGTATTGTTTATTTAGGAATGGCATTTAAGGATTTATATCGAACAGCACGAGAAAATTTTCTTGTGAGTACTGATTTAGCTCTGAGAGCACAACTAACAGAATTCATAGATCACAAATTAGTACGAACTAAACGTAACAAGGATGGTACGGAATGTTTGACAATTCCATTAAGTAATAATTTATTGAAACAATTCCTTGAGCAACATAAAACTTAATTTTTACTGTATATATTTATTTTTATATAGTAAGATAAATAAAAAAAGCATATAAAATAAATTAGGATAAGAAAAATTAGAAATTAACAAAAAAAAAACATGATATTGTACAATATGAAACACGATTTTGAACGATGTGTATGTGTGCGTGTGCATCAGATCAGGTGATAAAATTAAATACGTGTGTGATATTGTTAATAATATAATATATTCAAAATATAACGTAACGATGAATCCTTTACTGTTACATATTTTGAATATATTGTCAATTAATATTTTTGTATTATTTTTTTAAGAAGAATAAAAAGAAATGGTCGGTAATGTAGAACGCGATAGAAAAATGATAATGACAGCCCCCTTCCAACTGCATAGTAAACAAAAATGTGAATACTCGTTAAATCTATAGAGTATTTAATCTGTGGTAAGAAATGAAAATAGTGGTCGGGTGTTAGTAGAAGATAGTACGCGAAGAATAAGTTTGTAATAAAAGGATGATTGTCGTTAACTCTAATTAATATTTTCTCTGTGTCGTAAGGATGATAATTAGAGAAGAAAATTCGAAGACGTTTTTTTCGGTAAGAATTGACGGTAGTGAATGGCGGCGCCAGTTGTATTATCGCTTGCTCAGATCATTCTTACATATAAGAGTGAGCATAGCGGGAGCATGACCGGGAACGCATATTATCTGCAGACTGGATGAAATGTCAGACCTGTGTCGGGGGTGGGTGGATACATGGATTGGTGAGAGGTTAAGCGCAAGGAGACCAATTCTAACTTTTAGTGATTTTGGTACGTTTTAATATCATCTCTCACATTACTATTTAAATTATTTACATTTTTACGCGAATTATGTTATTCGAAGATAATACATGTGTGTGTGTATGTTACACGTATGTGTGTGTTGCATTAGTTGAGGAGAACAATTTGTCGTAGAAATTCTTTTCTATTAATAGTCGAATACTTAGATAACATGGATTTATTATTTAACTTCCTTGTATAGTAATATATTTTTATATTCTTAGATTATCTTAGATCATTTGTTAGATTTATTTTTTAGCTAATTTATAATCATAAAGAAAGAGAAACCGGTTGTATTAGAAATTTCGTAGCGCTGTCAATTACGCATTAAATATTATAAACAAAACAAGTTGACCTTCTAAAGATAAGTCAAACGACCTTGACTTTCGTGTACAATATGAACACGCTGTTAACAGCAATAACTAAATAAACGGTTGCTAGGCTAGCGGCTTATGAATAAATATGTTGTGTATGATCAAATAGTTCATAGATATTTTTGAGATATATGTACATATCTCTCTCTCTATCTATCTATCTATCTATGTATAAACGAATTCAATCTGTTACAGTTGCCAGTACGTAATGGATACGATTAGTTTCTAAACCTGACACATTTTTTTTTTTTTTACTGTTATTTTTATTCACGCCTTTTAATTACGCGTTTGTTTTGTAAGAATTAATTTTGTTTCTTTTTAATTATGTTGGTAAGAAACAACAACAACAACAACAAGATGTAAATGTAATTTTATACGCTTGATTTATTCTTGTATTTTTATATAAGCCGAATAAGCGATGATTTTTATGAATCATGAAGATTCTTTAATTAGAATGCACTCATTTTGGCAATAACAAATAATGATATTTTCAAATGTTTATTCAATTAAAAATACGAATATTCTAAGATTTATTATAGCAATATATTATTTGTAATTTGTTTGATAATTTATTTGAATTTATTGTTATTATTGTAATTGATTACCGTTAACATGTATTTTCATTTGTAGGTAATGCTGTTGAAAGCTTTCGGAATTCTTAGTAGTCACATAATTATTCTCTATAGTCAACCAGTCTTGTTCTACTTTACGGATAAATGTATAGGTAAGATTATTATTTTCTTTATATGCATATTAATATTTTTGTATCTTTTGTCAAATAATTCAAAGATATGTCGAACAGACATAAGCATACATAGTCTATTTTACTAATAGTATACATTTTTCTGACACAGGTTGGCACCGATGTTTTCTGTATTCTGTACAATATAATTTGCAGTGCATGTTCGGTGAGTGACAGAAAACTTGACCACGTTTAATATTATTTCAATGCAAAAGAATACGAGACTGAGAATAATGGTCGTATTCTCACAAGCAACGTTATTAATTTATTTATAAATATATTATTATATAGTACTCATTGTTTTTAAGAATATTACAAGAACGAGCATCGTCTTCTTGAATTTAATAATAATTAAGAAATATTTCTTTTGTCGAATCGCATCAAAATTTAAAAAATTTTCTATATACACCTAGATATATACATTTCGAATTTCTTCAAAAGTATTTCATACAAAATTAATAATGTTCTTTACAATAATTAATTAATTTTACACACATACGTTTATACACAAATATAGTTAACAGAATATATTATTTCAAAATTTAATTTGTATATATATATGAAAAAATACGTGCTTTAACATCGTTCGGTAAAATGTTTCCCTTCATTATCGATCGTTGATAAAATAAACGAGTATACAATCTTCTTCTTCTTTTTTTTTTCTTTTTATATATATAAAATAGTAAGAAATACAAGATAGTTAACAAAATCACGTTTTCAATTAAATCGAATAAAATGAAACGAATTTTTAGATAACAATCATGTTCTTTGTCATTCGAAAGGCCGCGATAATAAATAGAGTGTGAACAATGAGTTCGTGTTTTCGTTCCACTCTCGATAGTTCCCCTCTTCATTTTATATTTTTTCTTTTTTTTTTTAAATTGTTCTTTTATATACCAGCAGAGATGTATTTGATACACATATCTGTGCAATAGTGTTTAAATACATAAGTATTTTGTTGTGTTTAAAAGTATATAAGCGTGATAACGAGATTAGAGCTTGAACAATATCGTATGAACGAGTCTCATTCAAGTTTGCTACGTTTACGTCAGATTTGTGGGAGTATATATGTACTATATATATATATATCTGTGTGTGGACGTGTAGTATGTATTAAGGCATGCACGTGCCTAACCAATTTCCGCTTATTTTACCTAAATCGAGGTCGTGGAGCCGTTAAGCGTCGAGGATCAGTCACGATCAACGAGTCGTTGTAACTGACTCATAAAAATTATATTCTTTTTGTTTTATTACACGATAAAATAATGGCGATGCTCGAAAAATGTTATATCTAAATGAATTATTTAATTGATTAATTTATTTTCTTTATGTCCTTTTTAAATGAGTACTCGTAATATATGTGACTCCTCATATCAATTATCAAACATAATCGATCAATATTATTGATCGACACTCTACCACATTCACGTATATAAATATTAATCTTATTTTTTCTACAAAATTAATCTTGAATTATAACCTTTTTTTTTGTTGGAAAAATTCGCGTGAATAGTTTTGTTGATAAATTTCGGTAGATAAAGAAGAATAGAAATGAGCGAAGATCGGACAGATTTTATTTTATCCTTTGGATTAAGAATTTTTAGACAAGTATTCAATTATTTTGATTGACTTAGGTTTTATAATTTTACTATTTGTGAAAATGGAAATTAATTAGTTCGATAAAAAAAGATCTGACGATAAATAAAAAATGATGGAGAGGGGGGGGGGAGGGGAACAAGAAAGAAATATAGGTAGGTGTGGGTAGAATATAAAATTTATATTACGTTTTCAATATAAAATTCGCGTTTTTTGAGAATAATTATAGTAACTCATAAGTACTTCAGACAGGTAATTTACAAGCGTGCAAAGTAAAGACGAAGTAAGTGCGAAGGCTTGCGTACTAATTACCGTATTTTACGTCTCATCGTAAGGTACATAATCGTAGCATGTGACAGACAGGACAGTACTTACTTACATGTATATAAGTACCACGCATGCATGCATGCATGTGCGCATGAACTCGCGCACGAATTGCCAGTTTTTTTTTCCCTATCGAATGACGTTCTTGGTTCGAATAAAAAGAAGAAAAAAAGAAAAAAAAAAGAGAGAGAAAGAACAAATTAAAGTAAAGCATTCAATTAATCTTATAACGATCGACTAATTATCTTAAGTAAGTATACTCGTTTAATCGATCATCGTAACTACCGTCAACGTCAAATTTCTTCATCGATTCGCATTTCATATTCACATTTTCTCCTCCTTGTCTGTTTTATTGTCACGCTTGTAATTTCATAAAATTGTGATAAATTTCATACAACATTAAGGGAAAAGAAAGAAAAAAAAAAGAAAGAATCAATAATTTGATTTGTCGAAAGAAATTTTCGTAATACATTTTGTCAATTCGACAATTCGCGAGATAATAATCGGTGTTTAGGGTCTCGACACTTTTACGTACAAGATGAAATAATAAAAGTAAGACACTTTAGTCGCAGATTTGATCTTTTTCCTCTGTTTTAAAAAGAAGTAGAAGTAAAAGAAGAAGAAGAAGAGACTTGAGAAGCTTATCGCATTTTACGGGCCACGTGTTAAAATAAAACGACCCCTTCCCCGCGACCCCCTTAGCATGGTCGGATGTTACTTAAGCCGCGTATGCGATGTATACGCGTATGTATGTATGGTGTGGAAGAAACTAAAAAGAAAAAAAAAGACAAAATACGCGAGTAAGAGAGAGATAGATGAATATACGTATATAAAGAGGTGGACGAGGAGGAGAGGGGTTGGGGTGGGTGGGGGAAAAAGAAAAAGAGAAAGAGAGAGATGGAATATAATCCCACCTCGGGCATATTAAATATCTGCGACAGAAGAGGAGGAGACGACTGTGGGGGAGGGTGGTGAATGCGCAACTTTGCCAGACTGCTCGGTTTTACCCTGGCTGCCGTCACCCGTGCGGGCTTCACCCTTGAAAAGAGAACGACCAGGCAGGCACAGCCCTTAACGTTGCTTGCTCTCCCTTCAAAGAGACTCTCTTTCTCTTTCTCTCTCTCTCTCTCTTTCTCTCTCTCTCTTTAACTTTGCTCGGAGTATCCTCTTGCTCGCCTGTTATTTCGAGAATCGGTCTCCTCTAACCGGCATGAATCACGAATTTGAAATTCCCCTTTTGTAGTCTCCTTTCGGAATCCTTCCAGAGTAATCCACGAATAATCGTTATCAGCAGCGTAGCTAACATCTAGTCGTTTATTTAGTTTTACAAGAGATAACTTACTACAAATATATAATTATTTTTTTGTATATATATTATCTCTTTGATTAGAGTAATATATTATTTTTAGTAACGGTTCGCGTCTATTAATAATGATTTAATCTGTTTTAAGATATATCGTTGGGTTACGATGTATTTTTTGTTTGATTATCTCATTATTGTTATTATTATTATTGATTTTATCGTATTAAGATATGTGTATATATCATTTGATTTTATTTATTTGTTCATCATTATAATAGTATTGATTTTTATATGATATTAATTCTAAAATACGATTGAAATTGATTTTATTTTATTTTATTGATTTATTTGTCAATTTTTAGTAAAAATATAATAAAAATGTATTTGGATGTATCCATATTATAAATTATTTGACGATTTAAATATATATTTTATTTGATAAATACATAATATTCTTATATCTTTCAAAATGTCTTTGTCTTTGTTTTTGTATCACACGCGTTTATTATAATAATCGATATATTTTATATTAATTTGATATAACCGATAGTCGGTAAACATATATAAATCGATAAATTTGATAAGTTTTCCTCCGCTTGAGGATGCTGTCGACTTCGGGCCCAAACTCTTTGGTAACGTCATTGTGAAACGTCCTGTACACGCTACTTTCACTATCGCGGCCAAGTTTCATAACTGTTATTATCGAGGTCATACGTAGGCAGAAGAGAAGACAACGAGAAAAGAAAGAAAGAAAGAAAGAAAGAAAGAAAGAGGATTAACGTGAAAAATTCTATTGGCATTAAAAGTATATTCACACATTATTTTTTTTTTTTTTTTTTTGATATATACAAAATAATTATTTCATTAATAAAAAATTAACAATTAAAAACAGGAAAGAGCAAAAAATGTATGCGCGTATTCAAATATAGAATAGAAAAGATAATGAAAGCATCATTTGCCTTTTTTTGATCTTATCTATACTATCAAGTTTATAAATATATTTTCAACATTAACGATTCTTATCTACTATCTAAATTGAACGTTATAAATAAATATCTGTTTTATATCTAATGCAAAAAAACAATATAGAAAATCTATACAATACAAAGAGAAAACATTAAGAAGAAAAGTTTCAGGGATGTCTTTCTTTGTACGTGTTACTACTGTAACACGTGTTACTATCGATATTGCATCGTATTTCAATCGTCCAAAGAAAACTTTTCCCATATATATATATATATACATACATATATTTATATATTATATATAAAAGGATTGTGTATGTTCGAATAGTACAATCATAATTTATTTTATATTCCTTTTGATTTAGAGATACATACTTTTATTATTATTATTATTATTATTATTATATAAGAACAATTTTGGAATTTTATACTATCAAAGTTTAGTATAAATTTAGTAAGAAATTCAGGACGAAGTAACATCACGTTTCATCGTATATAAAATTCCATGAAGATTCCGTTCAGGGTTGCGTATGATAACTTTTAATTGAAATACTTTTTCACATATCTATATACATATATACATATATACATATATTAAGGACGATTTTCCAGATTAATACTTTCAAAAGTTTAATGTAAATTTGTGAGTAAATTCAGGACAAGAAGCATAACGTTTATCGCTTAAGTACGCGAAAGGGGAAACGGTAAATGGAACGTTAACTCTTTGCCGATGAGTCATTAATGCACAGCGAATGTTCGTTGGGGCGTAATCGGTCACGTCAATATACCAACTGTGTGTTAATATGTGTGTGTATGTATATATATATATCTCTCTCTCTCTCTTTCTTTTTCTGTCTTTTTCTATCTTTTTTTATCCCTATCTCTTCTCTACGTGTGTTTGGATAAAGTAACATATGCAATTTATATAGTAGACACATATACACACACGCATTCACAATCATACACACACACACACAACCATAGATTACAAATCGTTTTATTCGACTATTCCGCTAGGATCGTAAA